GGGGGGGGGGGGAAGAGGGGGAGGGAGAGACCAGGACAAGAAAACAAAGCATGCAGAATGTTTGTGTATGTGTGTGGCAAAACGTATCATTTGGTTGTACATCCATCCATCCATCAAACATCAACGTCCTTGGGATTTAGCTAGTCTAGCATACGGAACTTGCATTCGTCGCGTACTATATTATATTATGTCATATACCATCATATCTCATATATCACCTCATCTCATATATCATGTCATCGCGATCTGGAATTGTTCCTTTTTTTCAACCGCAAAGGGATGTCACATACCCGGATGGTGGTTGGTGGTATCTGCATACCTCTCACGAAGAACTGTTCGAGCTTGTTTACTAATTAATTTGGGTAGACCCTGTATGGAAAAATGGAGAGATGAAGAGTCACGGGGGGGTCTTGAGTTGCTCTTACATCGACGTATGTATGTGTGTGTGTATATACAAAATAAATAACTGACGAACTGGTAAAGAGCTCTCCCTTTTCTTTGCTTGCACTGCGAACACATCGAGAATGGCCGTGGCCAGGGTGGTCCTCTTTAGGAGTGATGTCCGCTGGGCAGGCCTGACCATCCTGACCACTGCGGTTGCTGGGGCGGCATGGTGCGCGAATTGACGAAATCGACCAAATCGAAAAAACTCTTCTTGTAGCGCCGCTCCTGTGTTGTCCGATTGACGGTCTGTATGCCAAAGTGGGCCGTGTAGTCGCCAAACTCCCAGTTGTCGGCGAAGCTCCAGGCAAAGGCGCCCGCGACGTGCACCCCGTCCTCCCAGATGGACTTGAGCACCTCGGACATGTACGAGAGGTAGTAGATGGAGCGGGGCAGGTCGGAGAGCTGATCGCTCAGATCGGTCTTGTCGTCCTCGCCGAAGACGGGGAAGCCGAACTCGGTGATCACGATGGGCGTGTGGAACGTGTTGTACAGGTACGACAGGTAGAGGCGCAGATAGCGTGGCGTGATGTAGACGTAGGATTGAGAGCGGTAGCCGATGTTCCAGCCCGTGGTGGTCAAGGTGCTTTGATTCACGCAGTACGGAAAGTATGTGCTGGACGTGTTGGCGCAGCAATCGTGTATCGAGTCGATCGAATCCGCGACTGGTGGAGAGACCACAGTTGCCTTGTGAGCGAGTACGATTAGCTTCCTGTCGACACACTGTTTTCTTGAATAGACATGGCGTTAAAGAGAAGTGCGTTCGACTCACCGTGTAGGGGTCAATACCCAGAAAGTCGGCAGTGCCGTTGATGTAGGCCAAATCCTCTGTGCTCAGAGGCACATAGTCTGGAACAGTCTCTTTGTAGCTGTCGGGGTAGTCCTGTCCCAAAAAGATCGGGTTGCAGAACATTCCCAGCTGGAACGAGTTGAAATGGTCGGCGGCGTAAACATCGTTGGCATTGGCAGGATCGCGAGGCACGCCAAAGTTGTCGTTGAACTTGAGTGAGACTTTGCCGGTTCCACCAATCGACTCTTTGTAGAAGTGATAAACTTGGGCATGGGCCTTGAGCACATGATCGACCGATAGACCATTGAAGGAATAGATGAATGGCTCGTTGAACGTGAACCAGATGGGCACGCGGTCTGCATAGTAAGTCATGACAATCTTTGCGTAGTTGACGTAGGCGTCTACAAACGTCTCGTTTTGATATCCACCGTTGGAATAGCCTATCAGTGGTTTCGCCTGAGCCGCTGAGAAATTGGCTGCGAAGAACTGTGCCGGAGTATCGAAGTGTAGAATAGTGACCGTGGGTATCATGCCTTTCTCGAGCACAAAGTCGATCAAATCAGAATAGTGGTCGAGCCCCTGCTGATTGACAGGGGTTCCTGGCAGGGCGAAAGGCAGAATTCGACTCCACGCAAGACTGAATGAGTAGTACTTGACGCCCATCGAGGCTAATCTCTCGATTTCTTGCTTGTAATAGTAGTAGTTTTCGTTTGTAACGTAGTCCTTTGGTCGATCGTCCTGGATCAGAATGTCCATCAGCGAGGGGCCTTTGCCTTCGTCGGCAGTGGCTCCTTCGATTTGAGCAGCAGATCCTGCTACGCCAAACTGAAAGTCGGCTGGGAAGTAATAGCAGTCCGTGGGTCCAAAGTAGTCTGGAGGAGGCAGTACCAGCTCGCTTGTTGGGATGGGCGTTGGGGAGACGGTCGTGCTGAAGACCGATGTCTCGGTGAAGTTGGGAGGGTTGGCCATCTGCCATAATGCAGTCCACGCAGCATCTCCGTAGGGGTTGTCCGTGTCCGTAGCGGAGACCGTGGCATTAGGATCCCATTTGCCCCAAGTCGTGAACGACAGTGACGAGAGGAGGCTGGTTAGCGAAGCAGCGGGTGGTGCATAGGTGGTGGTAGGACCTGGCTGGACTGATGTGGCGGTCCGTATCGTCTCGGTCATAGAATAGGCAAAATCAGAGTATGGCGAGTACGTCGGCTGTGAGTAGGATGGCGTTGCCGTGCATTGAGGTCTCGCTGATGTCCCTGACACTGGGATATAGTATTGTTGCGCAGTCGCTGAACCCAGCGCAAAAGACAAGAGAGCTAACCAGAATGCCATATTGGACGCGCAGGAGGCTGGGGACGTGCTTCACACATCCTCGGACTCATTGTGGAAGTCAACGACATTTGTATCTGCCCCGTGAGCCTGTTACTGGTCTGGAGTTTGCGGTCGTCGGCGATCATGATGGATACAACAACCAGATTCCACACAAAGTGTAACCTTCTCCGCATAAATCTTCGGGCTCTGATCCGGATTTCTGTCAACTAAAGAGTACTACCTCGTCATCTTCGTCACCCGGTTATGGAGAACGGTTGTGGCGGTCTGTACCCCGCGTTCCGACGCTCTCGCTTCGATAATCCCCATACAAAGAAGATGGACGTGGGTAGCCGAGAGATCGACAACATCTGTCAAGCTCAACGCAGCGGCCAGTGTGTCCGAAGATCAAGCCCATATGTCGGGAGAACAAGCACCGAGCTTGGACAACGGCGTGGCTTGTCACTCGTCGGAACCGATTCGATCTTTGTTCGGCTGTTCTGGGTGGGTGGGCATGATCATCGCGGTGTGCGGGGTGGAATTAGAATCCGAGAGGCATAATGAGCTTATAGTCGAGCGGCAGTATACCTGGTCATAGGGTGAACAGCTGATCCGTCGCGCGGTGAGTTCAAGTGTCAGAGTTGGTGGTTGCCTGCGGCTTCAACTTCCTCCTCGGGCTTCTCTATAATTCGATCAAATGACACTCAAATGACGGTCAAATAACACCTCCTGCATTCAGACACCAGGATTAGCCACCTCCATGACTGGCTGGACAAGCCTCAATATGGCGTCGCCGGTTTACAGATTCTCTCGGTCGCCATGTAGTCTATCTGCGACTCTTCAAGGAAACTCCCAGAATTCTCCGCGATTTCTCTTCAAGACAGTTGCGACCTTTGCTACCCAGCGTCAGCTCCGTTGACGTGGACTGGAGTGATAGGGTAGCTTGGCCCCGCATTGTACGTACTGAAGGCCAATTGTTGTATCTTCTCCTGAATCCAGCTTGACTCAGAGCCAGCTGAGATGATCCCTTGGGAGGATCGGTTTCCTCTGAACTCCCAAGGACACAACGACTGATTCTTCTCCTCGCCACAGATCAGATCGATGAAGCAATGAACGGCACCTATCGACGCTGGGTCCGTTATTGCGAGGCCCATCCCCAAACCCCAACTATCTATGGGACTCCTCCAGGAGCGCAAGATCTTTGCCGTCGATGCCTCGGACTGCGCAGAGGCATCAGCGATAGCCTTGCTCGCCTCAAGAAGATCGAGAACGATTACAAGTCTGAAGGTTCCAATTGGGAGGTCGCTGTCCTGGGTACGCCAGCGACATGGGATCCGAATCACTGTGCTCTTTGCCACCTCTTCATGACTATACACAACAACAAACTTGCCGAGCACGATGCAAACACGCCTTATACACTTCGCGCATTCAGGACATATCAAGCGACAGGGCTGGCAGTCCTCCCGACGCCTTCACTCGACACGTTGGGAGAGGACTGCGCGTCGTCAGGCTTTATATCCCGAGCTGTGACGAAAGCTGACAGTTCGGTGGGACATCATTCTGTCGGCCTGGTTGGGGAGTACGTCGACTTTCCCTCCGTCAAGAGCTGGATCGAGAGTGGCGGCATGACTGACATTCGAGAATGGGACGGGCTGTCACTCAAGGACAATCCCCACTTCAAGCTCATTGACTGTTCGACGCGCCGCATCGTCAAGCCGCCCGAGGGATGCCCCTACGCCACGCTGAGCTATGTCTGGGGACGATCCGACGAGTCTGTCCCGGACGGCGACCGGCTGCCGAAGCAGCTCCCACGCGTGATCGAGGATGCTCTCACGGTCGCGAAAAAGGTCGGCATCCCTTACCTGTGGGTGGACCGGTACTGCATCTCACAGACAAACCTGGTGGAGAAGGCGGCGCAGATCAAGAAAATGGACCCCATCTACAGCAGCGCGTCCTTTACGATTTTTGCCGCGGCAGGCAACGGCGCAGACCACGGCCTCCCGGGGGTCTCGAGGAAGAGGAACCCCAGCCGGCAACCTTGTGCAAAGGTCGGCAAGCACCTGCTCACCTGGACCATGCCGGACGGCCCGGCCCTGGTGCTGAAGTCGAGATGGAACACCCGGGCGTGGACGTACCAGGAGATGGTCTTCTCCGGGTCGCGGCTGATCTTCACCGATCTCCAGGTCTACATGGAGCAGCGGTGGAACGTGTTCCGCGCCGAAGCCTGGGGAGAGTACCCCTTCAGCAACATCGGGCGCATCGACACGCACAGCTCGCTGACAAGTCCCTTCAGCGAGATCTACAAGCTCAACGACTACTCGCGGCGCCAGCTGTCCTTCTCCTCGGACGCGATCCAAGCCATGCAGGGCCTCTTCAACGCCATGTCCCACGCCAAGGTGCTGTACCAGTACATGGGCGTTTTGCTCCCGGCGGTCATCGCGCAAGAGGATGCCCCTTCCGACGACGGCGCCCTGCAGTACGGCTTTCTCTGGTTCCACGTCGCAACGTCCACGCGACGACCGGGTTTCCCCAGCTGGTCCTGGGCCGGCTGGTCCGGCGAGGTGGCCTACCTGGAGCTCAGGGGCGTGCAGCATTGGTACCACCCAACCTTTCAGGCGGAGAGCATGGATGCCTCCGTCGAGCTCGCCAACGGCACCCTCGTCCCCTGGAAGGAATTCCGACGTCTGATCGTGGCCGACCGCCTACCACCACCATCCAACTTCCTCCGGCTCGACGCATCCGCCGTCTCCCTCCAGTTCGAGTGGCTCGACCACCCACCCCGCCACTCCTGGGCCTACGCCCCGGACATCCCGTCCCGCGCGGGCCTCTTCGTGAAATGCCACCCTTCCTACGCGATCTACTCCCCGGTCCGGCTCTGCGGCCCTGTGGATGACGATCCCCGGCGGATCAAGAAGTTGTGCGCGTCCGCCCACGACGCCCTGGTCCTCGGCCAACTGGCGTACTACCGCTGGGTCGGGGAGGAACACGACATCTATGACAACCCGTTTGCGGATCTTTGCGTCGTCGTCCTTGCCAAGCGGTCAGGTGGTGGCGCCGGTGATGACGCCGTAGTAGAGCGCATCGGATTCGTCAACCTCGCCCACCGCGTCTGGGACGACGAGTGTGAGCGCATCAGAGCCGAGACCCCGGACAAGGAGTATCCCTGTTGCCTCAGACGGCTGGATTTGAAAAGGACCAGGATGCGGATCAGGCTTGGTTAGTTGGCCAGTTAGCCGGGATGAAGAAAATGAGCGAGTCAGCGAGTGGGCGAGTGCACAGGTAGGCGAGTACCTAATATATTAATAAAGTAAGTCTGTTCGGACATGGTGAAGAAGGGGGAGAAACAGCCTCCTGTCTACCGAGTTACCGGGTCCTTGACTTGACTTCAGTTGACCTTCCCCCCGTGAATTCCTTGTATAGCTTCTAATCTATTTCATTCCATTTCATTTATCTACCGTATATCCATCCATACCTCCAAAAGGGATTCTATTCGAGTAGCTGCTCAAGAAGGAGTAGTGTTGTGTAGACCACCCAGCTCTTCAATATATACAAAATTAGCAAACAACTTTAGCAGATGATCTATCCCCTTCAAGCCTGGACAAATGAGATGGTGGTCTAGTAGCAAGATGTGAAACTCCAGTCAACTCAACTCAACTCAACGCCGCTCGTCTCAGCACCTCCTGACACAACATGACACGTGCCACAACAGAGCACAACATGGTACTAGCTCCCGCAGTCATGGCAGTGAATAGCAATAACAATAATGTATAGTACATCCGCCAAAAGATTAGACCTCACACGCTAAAACAGGTCAAAACTGCGGTGCCGTGGTAAAGCGCTCGGTCGTCGGTCTTTCTGCCGCATCAGATGGCACGATGGTGTCGTTCTGACTTCCTCGGCCTTTCTCGGCCTCTGTTATTTCGACCGCCTCTTTCTGGTTCTCTGTCGTGTAAGCGGAGTCTTTCTCCCGAGTAGATCGATCGCTCCCGCTGTCCGAGTCGTTCGACGACGGAGTGGTGCGACGGTCCTTGTCTGCAGGAGCACCGAGCACAGCGGGGCTCTTCTCATAATTCCCACTGGTGACTTGTTGTCCCTGACTCGCGTTGCTCAGGGTTTTCACCAACGCTTCGCTCTTGGCTGCGTCCTTGCCAGCATACTTCTTCCCTTTTGGCACTCTGGCCAACCAGTAAATCACCACCGCCGCGAACACGTTGAAGGCAATATACACAAACAAGATCCCGAAATCGCGCCATCTATGGTCGAAGGAGATGCTCACCAACGACAAAAAGGTGTCCGTACTGTTGACGGTGCAGAATTGGCACTGCGTAGTGTCTGAGTCCAGGAGATAGCCGCCAGCTTGTTCGATGAAGGGGCCAAGATACTGGCCACAGGTTTGACCAGCAGGCGCAGTGAAATGGAGGTATTCATTGGCTGCACATACAACAGGCGCGTGTGCGATGCCTACGCTGAGAAGTCCTTCGACTAGGTATGTAAAAGGACTAAAGTCCACGAGTAAGCTTCGGTTCAACTCCAGGAGAAGGACGGCTTGTCACTTACCTCACTCGGTACATGAAAATCCAAAATCCGGGCATTGCTTTAGGGCCGACCAAGACACCGTTGAACAGAAGACAGAGCGAGAACAAGACGTTTGCGATGTTGGAGGCGCTCTCTGCTGTTGAAATCCCAGCAATCATCCTGCATGATCATTAGCATCCAAATTGGAGATGAAAGCCTAACAGGCGCTCGTTGAAGAGAGATACTTACAGATGGGCAAAGGTGCTGCTGAAGAGGAGAAACTCCAATACAAATAGGAATTGCGTTACTCCACGGGAGGCCACAGAGTCGGTGTATGTTGCATTTTGGTACAGCCCGATAGGATAATACCAACAGAAGAACAAGATGACTGCTCCCAACGTCGCCCAAGGGAGCTCGACGAGGATGTTGGATAGCATAAATGCCTTCCACGAGTAGGCCTTTGAAGGACGCTCACGAACTTCATAGAGGCTGCGTTGCGTGACGAAGAGAGGCATGATTTGTTGCACCAGCTGCGAGAAGAGGACCAGCACCATGAAAATACCGAAAAGCTGGTTATTGAGTCCTTGTTGAGTATTGGGAGCCTTGAAGAGGGAGAAGCCGATAAAAAGACCCTAACAACACAGTCAGCGTCAGGCAAATCAAAACAGAAGGGTAATACACACTGTGAGGCAACACAACAGCAGCTTGGAGTAGATATACTCCGGGGTTCGCCAATACTGCTCGAAAACCCGTTTCTGCGTCTCCCAGAATTGTAACATGAAAGGCGCGGCAAATTCGTAATAATCTGCCTTGTTCGCTGAAGTCGGGGCCACCATTTGAGATCGTTCGGTCTTCATCTCTTCCAATTCTCGGTGCACTTCCTGGTACTCTGGTGAATTGCGCCAGACTTGGAACCAGTCAATGTCCGAATGCGATCCAGGGGCTGCACCAATGGCCTCGAGCATATATTCTGCTGGGTTAGCACCAGCTGGACATTGATGAGCGCCGTTTCTTTCGAAATAGTCAATCAGGACACTCGAGTCTTTGCCAACAGGACCAAAGTACACAGTTTTACCACCGGCTGCAAGGAACAGCAGTCGATCAAATCTTTGGAATAGAATAGCAGACGGTTGATGAATGGTGCATAGGATAGCTTGGCCAGCTTTTGTGAGCTTCTCGAGAAGGTTGAGAATAGACCAGGATGTCTGTGAATCAAGGCCGGACGTAGGTTCATCAAGGAAGAGAAGAAGTTGAGGTCGTGCGGCAAGCTCTACTCCGATTGTCAAACGCTTCCGCTGTTCCACGTTGAGACCTATGACGATGCGAGTCAGAATTGAAAAGACTGAGTTGACGAGTACATACCTTCACCTGGAACGCCAACCACAGCGTCAGCATATTCCTGCATGTCGAGCAACTTGATAACCTCTTCGACATAAGCGATCTTTTCCTTTCGAGGTGTGTCTCTTGGCTGTCGTAGTAAGGCACTGAAACGTAACGCCTCTCGTACGGTACTCGTCTCAAGATGCAAGTCCTGTTGCTGCACATAACCTGTCTTTCTCTGGAAGGATTCGTCACGTTGTCTTCCATCGACTAGCATTTCGCCCGTAATCACACCCATAGTCACCCGTGTCGCGAGACAGTCGAGTAAGGTGGTTTTGCCCGCACCTGAGACACCCTGTTGCGAAAGTTAGAGCAGAGATCAAAAGATTTCCAGAGGGAGTATCATACCATCAGAGCCGTCATGGTCCCGGGCTTGACCCAACCGTCAACATGATCCAGAATGCGGCGGGGTTGGCCTTTGATCTTGATGTCGTAACAGACGTCCTTCCACTGGAAAATAGCAGTTTGCTTCTGGATCACAGCAGTGACTTGTCGTGTCAGTTGCTCGTCCTTGGTCTGCCGCCTTTCGAGAGCAACAAGATTTGGATCAGATCCTCCCGTCTCCATATCAGACGCTTGCTCTTTCAAGAATGCCGGTTTGTGGCCTCGTCGGAATAGTAGCACTTCACCTTTGGACTTCTTGGCGCTCACTGTCTCGGTGGCAACCAGGTATACTACACAGAGCCCGATCGTGAATGCGAACAATATGCCAATGTTCCGCCATTTGTGGGAGGCAAAGTATTTGTAAGAGATGTTGATATAAGCGTCGCCATCGATGAAAGTCTGACCAGCTACAGATCCAACAACGGTACAGATTTGGGACGTGGTTGAGCCATTTCCAAACTGCGGTGCTGGAGGGACAAATGATGAACATGGATAGTTACGATTGTGAAATTCGTTCACCATCAGACTTTCAAACCCATAGGCCGTCGGATTGATGTAGTTGATCCAGCGAGCCCAGCCGTGCATGTAGTCTACAGGGATAACGAAGCCTGATGCTTGGGTTAGTGACCATATCTGGAAGCGAGATTGCCTCAAAGGGACAGATAAACACACCTGTATACACGACAATGGCGATCATCAAGACAGACGTCGGAACCAAAGCCTCTACCAGAGATCTTGACACTGACGCGATGACGCGGAACAACATGCTCATGGTAAATGTCAAGATGTATGAGGTGAACAAGAAGAAAAAGAAGGCACCAGGGGTCCGTCGAAGGTTTGTCATAAAGTAGAGGATCAAATTGAAGCCGATGGAATTGAGGGTCTTGGAGGGAACGTCTGTGAGCATTGACGCAAAAGCCTCAGCCGACGGGTGGTACAATGCATATCGTTGATGTTTCTCAACAATCGGACGCTGGGCGTATAGCGTGAGGATCTCAAGAGCGCTACCAAACGCATTGAGCAATACCGCGAAAAAGATAAGTGAACTTCTGGATCGGAGTGAATTTGAGTCTGCTGGCAGGTTGTAGAATAAGGAAGAAACCACGAGAGCGTTGATGCAGTTGGCGAAAAGCTGTGTGAGGGTAATGGCAGGATCATCCATAAGTCGCTTGAAGCCACGCCATAAGCACAATCTAACCTGACCTCCATATGACAATGTGTACGGAGAAGACTTGCGTTGAGCTTTTGCCTGTTGGATCCGACGAGATTGTTGGAAACTTTGCAGGTTGGGTCCCCCGATGGGATTGGCCTCTTCAAAGGCCTCGAGCTCTTGCAACATCTTCTGTCGTGCTTCGCTCTGCTGCCATCGTTCGGCAAACTCGTCTGGAGTGCGAGGCACCTTCGCCTCGTAACCCTTACGGACGAGACGTTCAATCGGATTGGTCATGGAGGTAAGGAAGTCAGGAACCGTCTGGCGTTTGGCACATTCAAAGCCCATATCTTCAAAGTATTTCTTCGCTTCAGTGGTGCGACCAAAAAAGATCTGGCGACCTTGATAGAGAACAAGAACCTTGTCGAAATAGTCATAGGCACTTTGTGGTGCCTGGTAGATGGCAACAGCAGCAGTCGTGTCATTCAAGTCGGTTGAGGTCCGGAGTGTCTTGCAAAATTCGATGGCATTGGCAGAATCCAGACCTCGCGTACTATTATCCCAACATTGGAGGGGGGCATTGCTCAATGTTGCTTCGGCAATGGACACTCTCTTTCTTTCACCACCACTGACACCCCTAACAAAGTCATTGCCGACTTTTGTGTTGATGGTGTGCCTGATGCCAAAGACGGCCATGACCACGTCCCGTATGTGAGCCGCGTACATGGCTTTAGTCACGCCAGGGGGTAGCTTCAAGTTCTGCGGTGTTCGGGCTTGAGCTGCAAAGAGGAG